GGGGGGGGGACACATTTTGCTTTTGTCCCCAAGCGCGTAACATCCTCGCTATGCCTCTGCCTGCAGACTGAACTGGAGCAAGAGAACCAGGACACAGTTGTATTTGCACAATGGGGGTGGCATCCTCTCTGAGATGGGAATAACTAGGGGATGTACTAGGCAGTTTGGCTCACCTAGCCACTATGGCTAAGAAGGGTGGTTACAAGGGGACACATTTTGCTTTTGTCCCCAAGCGCGTAACATCCTCGCTATGCCTCTGCCTGCAGACTGAACTGGAGCAAGAGAACCAGGACACAGTTGTATTTGCACAATGGGGGTGGCATCCTCTCTGAGATGGGAATAACTAGGGGATGTACTAGGCAGTTTGGCTCACCTAGCCACTATGGCTAAGAAGGGTGGTTACAAATAAACTATTGCTGAAATTATTTAAGCATTTATAGATTTCTTTAGCTTTCATACTTGCAGGAAACTAACAGGAGTCATTTTACTCTAATTATAATAGATGTTGAGAGCCAAAGTTAAAGCTTTATAACCATTATAAAAGCACAAACTCTCAAAATATGCTAAATTGAGCTCTCAAGTAGCACGCTTCTTTCTTTGCTGATCTAAAAAATGCCAGTTGATAGAACTGTTTGGCTTGTGCTCAGTGAATTCAACACTTAATTTTGTGTAAGGGTCATTAATCCAGACCAAATAGTTCCCTATGGCTGGGTGATGGTAGCAGTGGGTAGGCTTTACAAGATTAGGAGTGGGTTTAGTAGGAGTCTTCTTAATATGGCTGGCCTCAATGTTTCTGAACATTCTTGCATTGTTTAAGCATAAGTGCGGTGTCAAACTGTAATGTCCCAATTTTAATATCTGGATTACTTTGATAGTCTTAAAATCTTCCATGGATTGATTAGACCTTGTAGTCATGGGATGGTGTGGCCTACATAAATCACTTTGCACCACTTGTGTATACTTTTTTAAAGCATTGGTTGCGTCTGGCCTATTATTCTCTAACTTATTCAGTTTCTTGTGGGATAAAAGCAAGGGCCTTAGCAGCCTGCTCAGGCATTCCTTTCACTAGATGGAGGGGGTGGGTGGGAAACACTAGCAGGTCTATCCCCTTATAGTATGTACTAGTGGTACCTTCATGCCTAGCCATAGTGGTAATTCAGTGGGCCCCAAACAGAAGCAATCTGCAGCAGCTGTTATTTAGAATAGTCTTTCTTCATTGACTCCAGCAAGTTCAAACTCTTAACTGAACTTGCTTACCAGGGGTCTCTAAACATGCTAACTGCAAATGAAGGAAGGATTTAGCCTGTGAATCATTGGCCTCAAACTCTAGTTTGTATTTACCTAGAAATCCTAATCGTGAATGGCTCTAAGCACAAATTGCTTAAAGCATTCCTGAATCAGACTTCTAATACTCCAGAAGGGCTTTAAGGAAAACACTACTACAATTAAAAGCTCTGGTCTCATGAACTTACACCATTAAAGCAGTTAACTCCTTTCTACTACTCCTTTACAGAACACACACATCCCTGCCCTATCTAGAATCTGTCACATGAAAGGGAGTTAATTTGTCTTCTATTCTAGCAGGCTTTTTGACCTTTCTCTGTTACAGTTCTTGGAACAGAAGTATGGCTATTTTCATTGTAAAGACTGCAAGACCAGATGGGAGAGTGCCTATGTGTGGTGCATTTCTGGAAGTAACAAGGTAGCTAACAGTACTGAAATCCTTATCCATATTCTAGTTTAAGAGGAATTTTTCCTCTAGTAAGAATAATTTAACATGACAAACTTAGGATCTGTCTTAGAAATATTTCCAATGTGTCAGTGGTAACAACGCACTTACCTTTTTTAGGTTTACTTTAAACAACTCTGTCGCAAGTGTCAAAAGGGCTTCAATCCTTATCGAGTGGAAGCAATCCAATGCCAGGTAAACTATACAAATGGTTAAGACACTTCAGGGCAGGGGTGGGGAACCCTGCTGTGTCAGGTGCTGCTGGCCCACAGAAATCAGTCCGCTAGGGGGCAGCAGGGGCTGGAATGTCAGCATGGGCTTGCCACTACTGGAGGTGGGGGTGGAGGGGGAGGAGCCCTGGAGGCTGGATTCAGGCAAGCTAGGGACTGCATCTGGCCTCTGGGCCTTAGGTTCCCTGCCCCTGCTTTAGGATCTGTAGCAAACTGAGAATGTAAAACTCACCACAGATTCCAAATTAACTTGCCATCCTTTCTGCTATCTTTAGTTGTAGATAACTGCAGTTTAAGCTAAGCATCTCTCATGGCTCAGGTGTAACTACCAGCTTAGATAGTTGTACATGTCAAGACCCTGATTCATGCACACACTTAACCTGGACAATTTGACTATTTGTATGTCAAGTTAAAGATGTGCAAACGTTTTTGCAAGAGTGGGATCTAAATCATGGAGTCCACAACCAAACTGATTCTGAGAAACAACAAATGGCACACAGACTGAAGTAACATTAAGAATGAAACAAGTGTTGCTGACTTGTAGCAGATGTAGCCTTGTGTAAACTAGCATTTATCCCATTCATAGAGCCCTGAAATTTTGTGGACATATGTGGATGTGAATCCACTCACTTTTGCTGATACAGATGCTACTTTTACTTGAAATAGGACCTCCTGTCTGCTAATAATGTTTTCTCTCCTAAGGCTTGCTCAAAGACTCTGTGCTCCTGCCCCCAGAAAAAGAGACACATTGACCTCAAGAGACCACACCGCCAAGAGCTATGTGGTCGCTGCAAAGGCAAGAGATTATCCTGTGACAACACTTACAGCTTTAAATATATTATTTGATCTGTGGCCTCTCTTAACTTGTACACTTTTGTATTTAGCACTTTGCACTTTGTCAGTCTATTCCTTGGCTTTGACTTTAGGCTTTTGACCTGGCATTGGATATTGGATTAAAGGTTTTTGTATTTGTGATACTTAACTTTAAAGTTAAAATTGTAAATAAAAATTGAATAAAACTCTGAACTTGTTTACTACTTAAGCATGGGGAGGGATTCTTCCTTGTGAAGATTAATATCACTGTGACCTTTTACTCCCCTTTGGAAGCTTCCAACATAGGTAACTTAGCCTACTAACGTAAATATGCCTGGGATTAGAGTCCATGCTCTACTAAAATTCCAGGAAAGCAAGAGGATTCAAAAGGCATCTTCATCAACAGTGTAAAAACAAAGTCTAGTGAGACATGCAGTCATCCCATAGCTTCAATTTCTAGAAGAGCTCCTGCTCCTTAGTGTTGACCAACTCTCTGTACCTTAAGTGAGCCATAGGACTCTACTCTGTTTCTTAGTCCTAAAGCACAGAGCGAACTGCATTACCTAGGGTTCAAGAGAGTGATTTTTTTTTAAACACAGCCATACAATGATGAAAGGGGGAAAATTGCATGACAACTAATAAAAATGCTAGCCCCTTCTGAGGGAGACACACACATCTGTAACTGGTGTTTGATAGGCATTGCTCATGTCCATTCCTCTCTCTCTCCTCTTGGAGTTCCAGTAAAAGGAACTGGGGTAATGGTCTTTTAAGTGTTTGCTCATGTCCATTCAACAGAGGTGTCTAATCAGTGTCTGCAGGAGTTATGGGAATGCAGACTACAGTACAGCCCTGCCAAATGCAGCATCATCCTTAAAGGGAGTGCTTGCTGCAGCTAAGGCTGGATCATGCTGTTCCAGGCAATGAGATGGAGGGAGGGACCTATACAATGCATATGCCCCTCCAAGTACTACTTAAGTGTGTGCCTGCAGTTTTTCCCTATGTTGAATGGACAGGAGCAAGTAGTCTAACAAATTGTTCCCAAAATAATGGGGGAGATGCTTGTTCACCAAGATGCTCTAATCTTCAACCCACTCCACATAACTTCAGAATTCTTGTATACAATCAGCACGGATTAAGTATTCCCTCAATGGAATTTGTCCTTTATGGGTGTTTTTTAAAGAGAAACAAGGAATAGGTTATGCCTTGCCAATTAAAAGGGAGTATGAAAATAGCAAGTGAAGGCAGTCTATTGCTGCAGTTAGGAGCACCTTCAAGAGATGTGTACTTTGGTCATGGGCGCATATGTCTCTAGGTAACTTACTTCAGCTCATAACTGAAGAGAGGACTAATCTGTAATATGATGCAATTCTGAACATCTGCTAGAATCATTCTGAATTCCTGAACCAAAAACTTCAGGTGGGCTTCATAGCAGTTGTGGTGTTTGATTCAGATTTGTGTGGCTCAGACCACTGCTGAAGTACTTGTAGAAAAACTGCTTTAGAAGTCTAGAACTCCCTTTTCATTGGTGATGACACAAATAAGGATATTGCACATTTGAGTAATAAAGAGCATTTCTGACAGACAAACCTTCAGAGACTATTACAGGTCCTACACTAGTTATCACTGTGGTAGAGGGCTGGGTTTCAATATGTTTGTATGTTGACTAATCACAGTAGTTAAGATTCAGGGCAGAAGTGATTAGAAAAAATCCCAGTATAATCCAGGGTCTTCATATTTTATGTATTATATTCTTGTGGTACCACATGATCTGTACATAATGGTTGTAGTTTGGGCAGAGGAAGGCATTTCTTTTCCCCTACTGCCAGCCTAGCCCCACTCTGCCTCGAGAATGCCTACTCTAGGGCTGTGTCTAGACTGCACCCCTTTTGCAGAAAAGGGATGCAGATTAGACAGTACAATTGCAAATGAAGCAGGGATTTAAATCTCCCCTGCTTCATTTGCATGAACATGGCTGCCACTTTTTTCCGGCTCGGGGCTTTGCCAGCAAAAAGCGCCAGTGTAGACGGGGATCTTTCGGAAAATAAACCCTTTTCCGAAAGATCCCTTATTCCTCTTAAAATCAGGAATAAGGGATCTTTCAGAAAAGGCTTTATTTTCCAAAAGATCCCCGTCTACACTGGTGCTTTTTGCCGGCATAGCCCCGAGCTGGAAAAAAGCAGCAGCCATGTTCATGCAAATGAAGCAGGGGAGATTTAAATCCCCGCTTCATTTGCAATTGTTCTGTGTCTAATCTGCATTCCTTTTCCGCAAAAGGGGTGCAGTCTAGACACTGCCTAGATGTTCTGGAGGTGGAGTATTGCCCCCAGGGCTGGGAAGGCTGGAGCCATGCACCCTCCCTGGTATTCCAGGGTCAGGGAGGCTGGGGCTGTGCACCTCTTCCATGTGGTAAGGTGGGCTTGGCTCCTGTGGGGGGCAGGGTCCAAGCAAAAGGTGCAGGGTTGGACCCTACCTTCATCGACTGCTCATTGTTGTAGTACTGACAACTAAGCAACAATGGAGTACATTTATTTCCCAACCCCAAGAAAGGCACTGGAAGATGAGGGGCAAGGAGAAAAGTCACTTGTATTTAGCCTTTCAGGCACGTACATCAAACTGATATGCAGTTTGAGTATAGTCACCATAGCAATTAACTTAGCTAAATTTTATCCAGTGGTACAGCCTGTTCTCCTGTATGATAGCTCCTACTTTCCTCAGACTATTTTTGCAGTTTAGGAAAAAGTGGACTGTTGAGTAGATACTCTTTTCAAGGAGATTTAATTTGAAACAGTAGCAAGAGTGGCTGCTCAGTTGTGGGAGTTGTATTAAGCCACATCATATAATCAGCTGGCAGTGGGAATTTCAGGGGGAAATTCTAACATTCATAGGGGACTGGCAATTTTAAGAGTAAAGGGGCAGAGAATATGATTATTTACATTTTCTAACTCTCTACTTTCTGCAGTTTATTTTAATTGCTTAGTTGGTGAAAACCAAGTCCCTTTTATTGTATAATCTAAATTAATTTAAGAAAACAGTCTCAGTAAATCTCAAAACTCATGTGCATCCACATTCACAGATGCAAACTGGGATCTTTATTTTATCACAAAAATCCCAAGTGTAAAATTGTGGACTGAAATATATTGAAACAGGTCCCTTTAATGGGGACCACCACAAAGTTCTTATAGTTTAGTAATGAAAGTTGCTCAAAATAATACAATGAAATGTACAGTTGACATTTGAGATTGTTCTCCTTTACCTCTAAAATGTTTCTACTCTGAAAAAAATTACTAGGTATTACAGCATTTCTTCCTAAACTCATAGAACTAAAGGATTTTTTCTTTTTAAGTACTTGTATCACAGTAGGGTCAATGCAGATGTGAGAGATGGATTATATACCTTTTAGTGCAACAACCCAGTTATTTTTCAATTACAAGATCAATCAATTATAGCTTTGCAAGCAAGGAATAAGAGAAAGGCTGGCAAGTCATTGTGTGTTTAAAGGAAAACTCTCAGATACCAGACTGAATTGACAATGCAGCCAGTTAGAAGATGTTAGTACCTGTAAAGCAAGAACACCTGAGATTCAAGTAGGTTTGGCACAAAGCTGGAAGGCCACAGTATTATGTTCATAGTCACTTTTTAGAACTGAAATTGTATACCATGAGAGTTTGACATTTAACAATCTGCTATTGCTCTTCCTTGGACACGTTATTGCGAAGGAATAGAATACAGATGTCTTACATTCTCTTCCCATAAAATGGGCTTAGAATTTTTAGAATTTTAACCTATGAACATTTCAGTATATATCTCATACATATTATTGGTATTTTGAGTCAGTATTGTAGACTCAGTCAAGAACAAGATCTTCATCAAACCAATCAGCACATACACAGTTGTGAGATATATATGACTTTTATATTTTAGTTAAATGTACTGATCAAAATATCAACCAAGATACTTCACAAAAAACTAAGTGTATTTACAGCTTGAATAAGTTATATGTCTGAATAAGAGTGTCTGAGATGTGCAACAGATTTACATGCACACATTTAACACTTTAACTGCTGTCAAATGTAAGGAAACAAAACATACAAGAATGACTTTATATGTATATATATTACAAATCAAATAAGACCTTTTTAAGAATGTAAAGTGAGAACCTGCATTTCACATTAATATTTAAAATTTGTATAGTTCAAATTTATATTAAATAAAAATATGCATGAGTGACAATTCAAACGATATTGAATATGTGATGTGACTTTTTCCTAAAAAATGGTAAGTTAAATCAGATCAACCATCCTTTAATAGTATAAATATATTAATAAAAGCAACCTTCTATTAAAAAGCAGCTGAAGTTCTTAAAACAAGAGAGGGGTAAATATAGGGGAAATCTACCTAGACCATTCAGGGCCTAAGAACAGACCTCTACAGTATGATCCAGTACCTTTAGAAACAGTAGCCTAGCAACATTAGGAAATGTACTTCATAGCAGCTCATTGTTTTAAGATACAGTAACCATATTCAAATTTCAGTGTACAGTAAATTGTAGACCATTTACAATTTGGTTCATATACACAGGCTCTCAGCTTATGACCAATTTTGCAATGTTCTGTGGCCAGCTTCATTTTGCCCAACTTTCACTCAACCAAATAAAAAAAAAAAGAAAAACAATGTACAAGTTTTATAACAAAAAACAAAACAAAACAAAACAAAAAACACCTCTATAGTGAAGGAAACATTGCACTTTTGCCAACCTAAAATAATTTGCTAAAAAGGAAGTACTGTTCAGTGTAGTAGGCTTTGGTATGCAATGGAAGTCACTTCTTCAGTAGTGAGTTGTAATTGCTCAGTGAAATGCTAACCATTTTTTGTGCAACACAGAACAAAGGATTCTGTCCAGGATGTTCTATGCTACCTTTGTCCTTACAGTATTGCTACACATTTGAAGTTCTGCCCCTCTCTTTTTAGAAGTCCTTAATGTAACAAGAGTGAGTACAGCTTGACCAAACCTTTCTAAGGCTGAGAATACATTGAACCACCTCACTCCAGCAGGGCAGCACTCCCAGCTTGAAAGAGAAAGGGGACAGAAGATTCCTGTCAGAGACTTGTGCCGGAAACACTGGAGTCTGGAAGAAAAGTATTGATGACTCGGTAACTCTGAGCTCTGCGAATCATGTCACGAATCTCTATATTCAGCTCCATTAGTTTGGTACAGATTTCAGTTAGGCTCTGGTTGGAGCCCACCAGGGCATAAGTGCCAGTCTGGCCCAGGGTTTGATGCCGAAAATAAATATTCAGTAGTGTCTGGACCTCATCATCAGAATTGGTTCCAAAGATGTCGTTCGGCCACAAACTCCTGTAGTGCAAGCAATGGAAAGCATATTTATGTTACTACTTATTTGGTGGGATGTTGTTTTACATAGATATATACTGAAACTAAATAATTTCACAACATTTACTTGTTAGTGAGACCCAGAATATTAGACAGTGATTTCACATACCATATGAAATGCAAGCCCCATCATATAAAACTGGAAAATGAAATCATACAAAGAAGTGGAAAAGACAATGGACTGGATCCTTATCTGGTTTAAGCTAACCATTTACAAGTGTATTACTTTTCAAAAACTTCACAGCAGTACTTTTGATCTATGTGATAAAGAAATTAAGGTAATGAGTTTTATTTGATCTAGTATTAACATCGCCAAACTTACTCAACATATTACATTCATGTTTTTGCTGGAGAAACAATCCACTTTGTTAAAAATTCACGTGTTTATCGGTTACCTATGTGACAGTTTAGTAAAAATTGTGCGAGAAAACTTGCCTGCATTCTCTTATTTGCAGTAAAGCTTTACCAAGTTCATTGTTTTTTAAACACTCCAACATGGATTGAATGGCTGCTTCTGTAGAACTGAATGTAGGCTCAGATAAGGCAGCCTCCATATTTAGAGAATCAGCTGCAATAGCAGAAGTAGCATCTTTAAGGTTTTTCTTTAATTCACTCAGTTCTCTTGACATATTTAGGAGCTGTTCAAAGACAAGAATTGATAAACACATTTATATTTTCCTTTTATATCAAGAAGGAGCAATACATTTCAGATCAGATCAGAATTATCTGTTGCTTGCGAACAAACAATTTTAATACAAGAATAACACTTTTCAATTACAATGGCAAACATTCTCTCACTGGTGTAGACAGCATTATTATTATTCTTTACTCAATCTTCTGCTTTGTATTTGGCTTTGCTTTTAACATATCAGTGCATATCTAGCTTTCAAAATAAATCATATCTAACAATAAGCCCCCTGAAATGCTCAGTAAGGAAAAAGTAATTGTGTAACCCTTTTACTGGACTACAAATTTAACATGGCATAAGATGGATAATTCACAATTTCTTAATTTGTGTCTAAGGATATAACAGAACATGATAATAGATGATAAACATGTTCCATTGATAGTGACATCAACTGACTGTGCTTCTTTTTTAAAATAATAATTCATGTATCCAGCAAAATTTACTGCTTTCATGATTAAAACTATTCCTCCTATTGCCTTTTTTCCATTCTGCAGGTTGCATCAGTTGTAACAAATGATCACATTGATTCAGGAGCTGTATTAAAGTATGTTTACATCTCAACCCTCTGCTAAAAAAAAATCACTAAAAATTGCTGGTATAAACTGCATCCATTTGCAGCACTTTTCTGGTATATTTGTAGTTGCAAAATGCTCCTACTATTGATCTGACCACAATGTCCAACTAATATCAACTGTGCCTTAGAAGAAGAATAATTTCCAGACAGTGAAAGCCAGGTCCATTTCACTGAAAATTTTCTTGGATCCTATAAAGACTAATGCACTTACTCA